TGGATGATACCCTTGATATCCTCCCACAACTCATCTGGTCTTCGCTCATTAGTGTTCAAGGCCTCAAACCTGTTCCTGAGATGGTTCTGAAATAATGTGTGTTACATATTACTATATATTGTATGGCTCTGTAAGTGCTGCACATGGTTCATACTCCATTACTAAAGTTTTGCAATTTGAATCCACTGGTGTCATAGGGAGCTCTAGTGGCTTACTGGTAAGGAGTTGCCTGCCAATTGATGCCACAGTTGCTCTGTGGGAGACAACGGGGCAGTCTCCTTCCATGCAATTTCCTAGTGTTAGTTCTGACTTGACAGCACACAGCAACAACAGCAACATTGGTGTCATGGAAGAGAAGCACGACCTACTTCTCCAAAGATCACAGAAAACCCTGTGCTGCATCCGAGTTGACTCAGTGACAGCAGGTTTGATTTTGGTTCTGACATGCAGGTGACCCTTGAACAACATGAGATTGAAATGCACTGGCTGGCTCACTTACATTAAAAATTAAAAAATGCGCTAGGCACCTCTCCCTCCTGTTGCTGTTGCCATTAGCTCAAGTGCTGTAGTTAATCTGCTTGAAGCAGCAGGTGATGCTAAACATATCAGAGCAGTTCAGAATCTCTCCAGCAAATGATAATTTCTGGGGTCTGTTTTAATATGTATCTCAAAGTGTGCTATTTTCACAACTCTTGTGCCCTTGCCTACTGTGAGATTTAGGAATTCTTTGAGGAAACCCAAGCTGGCAGGACCTATAGGAGGTGTTTTGAAGCTGTGTCTGCTAGATGATGTGTACACATCAGTTCTCCTGAGCCTTGGAGCTTCTCTTCAGAAGTGGACATATGAACAGGAGAGGGATTGAGTGAGTTGTTGGGGGAGAGTCTAAATGATTCACATGCAGTATTCTGAAGACGTTGAGAGAGACGAGAATATATGAGCAACAGGAACAACTAAAACAGAGGCATTGAAAGGGATCACTCCATGTAATCAGCCACGAAGGAACGTGAAAGAATGGTAAAGAATCTGTCAACTCAAAGATGTACAGCTTCAGCCCATCAGCTTGGCTGCTCCATGAGGGAAGGATGGGCAGTCTCTTGTGTGATT